TGGCTCGCCGAGCTGGTTTCTTGTTTCGCAGATGTTTCATTACCAAGCATGGTAACGAAACGTCTGCAAAACAAGAAACCAGCTCGGCGAGCCAACCAACCTCAACAACCTCAACACCCACAATCCAAGCTTCAAATCTACTCCAAAACCTTAGAGACTCTAACATTTACCAAAAATGTGGAAAATTGTCCAGATATGATAAACACACAAAAAGCAGGACAAATCCAATTCAGCCAAATAACAACCCATGAGTCTACTCTCAATCATCAGTAAGGTGATGGAAGGTATAATCAACAATGCCATTGAGCACGACCCTCTCAGCAATAACCTGCTCAGTGATGCGCAGTTTGGGTTCAGTCAGGGCCACGCAGCTTCTGACCTCATTACAGTCTTGGTTCAAACATGGCCAATAGGACTAAACTCCAGAGGTGAGGTGAGAGTAACAGCCATTGATATAAAGGCCATATTTGATCGAATGTGGAATCAAAGAACCCTATCAAACGCAATCAGGGGCAGACTTGGCACATGGTAAGATGGTTGTGGTTGTTGGAGGTCAGTCATCACAGCTCCAGAACATCTCTGCAGGAGTTCCTCAGGGTCGCCTCCTAGGCCTAATCATCTTCAGTTGCTTCATCAATGAGCTTCCCTCCATTAAAAGACCAGAAATGGGATGTTCACTGATGATTGCACAATGTTCAGCAGCATTTATGACTTCTCAGATAATAAGAGTGGCCATGTTCAAATACAGCAAGATCTGGACAATATTCAGGTTTGGGCTGACATGTGACAAGTAACATTTGCACTGCTATTTCATTGTCACTGTGTCCAAATCCTGGAATTCCCTCTCTAATTGTATTGTGGTCCAATTACAGCACATGGACTGCAGATCACCACTACCTCCTCAACAGAGACTAGGGATGGGCAATAAATGCTGGCCATGCAGTTCCACCCACGTCCCGTGAGAAATTATTTAAAAAGTCTTAAACACAAGTATCTTTAAATTTCACTGAAAATGACAGGCGAGTCCAAGCTAGTGTGTTGTGCCGTCTATAGCGCGTGGGAATTTCTCAATTCTTCTGGCAGTTTGATTCACTGCAACTGTAGGAAGCATTGCTGGCTCGAACAGCTTGAGTGCCAAGTCTGGGAAGTTGAAAGCCAGCTGGAAGCACAGAGGTGCATGGGAGAGGCTGAAGATTCCGTACATAGTGTGCTTTCTGAAACGGTCACCCCACAGACTAAGGAGGTGAAGGCACAGTGGGAACAAGTGACGACCAGGTAGAGGAAAGGCTCCAGGTAGCCAGCCGGGCAAGCCCTAGAAGGCATCCAACTCACTAACTGTTTTTCTGCGTTGGAAAACAGTGGGAAAGAGACAAGAAACATTAACAGAATACACAGAGCTTTCAATATAAAGTGGATGCATTAATCATGCAGAGAGATGGAAATAGGTGTGATACAGTTGGGATTATGGAGACAAGGCTTTAAGGTGACCAGGGATGGAAATTGAACATCCAGGAGCATTCACTATTTAGGAAGGCAGAAAAGAAAGAGTGGTGAAGTAATTTTGCTGGTTAAATAGGATATACACACAATATTGAAGAAAGATACTAACTCAGGCAATATAGAATCTATGTGCATATAATTGAGAAACACATTAGTGAGAGTGGTATATAGAGCATCAAACTGTACTGATGATATTGGGATGGCTTTAAACAGGAAATCAGAGATGCGTGCAGTAAAGGAACATCTGTAATTATGAGTGACGTTAATCTGCTTATAGATTTCGTGAATCAAATTTTACAGGAGGAATTATTAGAATGGTTTTCTCGATGAATACTTTGTGGAACCAACTAGGGGAGAGACAATTTAGACTGCATATTTAAGCAATGAGAAACGAATAATTGATAATGTAAGAGACCGCTTGAGGATGAATGATAATAAAATGACAGAATTCTTCATCAAGTTGAAGAGTGAGGCTACGATGCTATGAGGTATAGTTTGGCAATAATGGATTGAGAAATGTTACTGACATCACACTTATTACACAATGGCAAACATTCAAACAGTCAATAGGTGAATGACAAAAATTGTTTATTCCTGTACGCTGCAAGAGTACAAAGAAAACAATGGCCAAACCTTGGTTTATGAGAGAAATTAGAGATAGTGTTAGACGGAAAAAAGGGGCATACAGATTGGCAAGAAAAATACAATAGATCTGAGGATTGGGAACAGCTTAGAAGTTAGCAAAGGAGGACCAAAAGATTAAATAAAAAGAAGAAATAGAGTATGAGAGTAAACTTGCGGGACAAAACAACTGACTGTAAAAATTTCTGTAGATATATAAAAGGAAATGGATTGGTGAAAACTAATGCAGGCCCATTGCAGTCAGAAATGGTAGAATTTATAATAGGAAGCAAAGGAATGACTCACAAATTAAATTGATATTTTGTTCCTGTCTTCATAAAAGAAGACACTAATAAATAACCAGAAAAAATGGAAAACATGGGATTTAGTGAAGAGGAGGAACTAAAGAAAATCTGTACTGGTAGAGAAATGGTTTCAGAGAAATTGATGGAATTGAAAGTTAATAAATCCCCAGTGCCTAATAATCTACATCCTGGAGAATTTAAAGAAGTGGCCCTCGAAATTGTGGATGCATTGATGGTTATCTTCTACAATTTCTTAGAAACGTTTACAGTTCCTACATATTACAGGGTAGCTAATGTAACCGCATGATTTAAAAGAGAAGACAGAAACCTTATAATTATAGACCAGTGAGTTTGACGTAAATCATAGGGAAGATGCTCAATGCCATTATCAAGTATTTTGGAGCAGAGTACTTAGAATACAATAACAAAATCACAAAGTCACCATAGATTTACAAAAGGGAAATCATGCTTGACAAATCTGATGAATGTCTTTCAGGATGTAATGAGTCGAGTCAATCATGGCGAACCAGTGGATTTGTTTATTTGGCATTACAAATGCTTTTGAAAAAGTCCACACAGCAGAGATTAATGTGTACAATTGAAATGCATTGGATTGGGGTTAGTGTATTGAGATGGATAGAAAATTGGTCAGCAAATAGTCAACGAGGAGTCAGAATAAATGTGTCTTTCTCTCAATGGCAGGCAGTAACTAATGGGGTATCACAGGGATCAATACCTGAATCCCAGCTACTCACAATATATGTTGCTGATTTAGATGAGGAAATTAAACATGATTTCTCAAAATTTGCAGATGACAGAAATCTGGATGGAAGGGTGAGCCGTGAGGAGGATGTAGATATGTTGCAGGTTGATTGAGAGAAGCTTAGTGAGTGGGTAAATTAATGTCAGTTACATTACATTTGGATAAATATAAGCTTATCCGCTTTGTACCAAAAAAAGAAGGCAGATTATTATTTGAATGACACATGGGGGTGCTCAACGAGACCAGAGGATCCTTGTGCACCAGTCGCTGAAAGTAAGTGCACAGGTGCAGCAGGTGGTAAGGAAGACAAACTGTGTGTTAACCTTTATAGAGTGAGGATTCGAATACAGGAACAATAATTTTTTGCTGCAATTACTCAGGGCATCGATGAGTCCACACCTAGTGTATTGTCTATATTTTTGGTATTCTTATCTGAGGAAGGATGTTTTTGCTTTCGAGGGAGTTCAGCTTGTGTTTACCAAATTGATTCCTCAGACTGTAGGACTGACGTATGAAGAGAGATTGAGCTGGTTAAGATTGTATTCATTGCAGTTAGAAGAATGAAGGAATCTTGTAGAAATTTCTAAATTTCTGACAGAACGAGACAGGTTAGATGTAGGAATGATGTTCCAATAATGAGGAATTACAGAACTGGAGTCACAGTTTAAGGATGAGGGATGAATCTTTTAGAACTGAGATGAGGAGAAACCTCTTCACCCAGAGAGCTCCTAGAAGTGCATTCCTCTTTTTTCTCTCCCTCTCAAACTATATTAATCTCTTGTTTTCTGGATCTTTTCCTGATACCACACGCCTTTTTTTACAGGAGCCCATTTGGGAATAGCTTCCCAAACAGAGATTAAAGGTTTCATTAAATTCAGTCGAATGTCTAAGTTCTTATTTAAATATCTAATTTTTGAGATTACACCCAAGCATCTGTGAGTAGCTTCAAAATGATCATAGATGCACATATCTGCATCAGGAGCAGTTGTGTGCCCTTCAGCCCCTCGAACCTGCTTGGCCATTCAATAAGACATGTCTGGTCTGAGTGTAGCATCAACTCCAGAAACCTACCTACCATAATAACTTGTGACTTTCTTGTTGACCAGCAATATATTTAGCACTAATATAAGAACAAAAATAATGCTACCTCCTTCATCTTAGATAGTTAACATTTCCCTTCTGTGAACTAATGCGGGGAATTCATGCAATATAAAGTGCATTTCTCCCTTGACAGGTGCTCAATCTGTTTTTGTTTGTCCAAAGAGTGCCGAGACTGTGAAACTCATTAGAAGAGGTGATTGAGATCTCAGTCTGCTCTGGAAGCTCGTGAGTTACATTTCACGCCCTGTCTGACCATCTTAATTTACTGACACATCAGCACAGTCACAGCCAGAGGAAGACTCTTCATACTTCAGTGTGAGAATTGATTTATTTAGTTTTCTTACATGGTATCATTCAGCATTGACAGTTCGAATGATTTGATCAACAATAAATATATTATTCTTGGCAGGCGAAATTCAAATATTCTATGCAGGTAAAGAAAATATTTTGTTCATCTTAACTGTTGAGACTGCAGTGTGTACACATCTTTTTGTTTGCTGCTATTTACAGCCAGGATATAAATATGCTAAAGGACCGTGCACTTGGTTTCTTGTATCAACGGATTCCATCATCTTACATCCAGCTGATGCCTCCATATCTTCGTTCTATCAATGTGACTGTTCAATGGCAGCATTTTTACCTAGCATTCCTTGCGGGAATTAATATGCTCAACAGACAGCAGTTTCCTGCGCATGCGCAAAATGACGTAATCGAGCATGTGCAGTACCAGACACGAAGTGGAGCTGGAGGAAGTGGACGAGTAAAAGGCGCGATAAGGGACTGAAATGAGAAAGTGAGAAATCGAGTAAGTGAGAAGTCCAGGAAGTGGGCGGAGAGGCTTTATAAAGTGTTAGAGTAGCCACAGTCGCTGAATTGGAAAATGCCGAACCCGGTTTTGTCGCGAATGATCCGGAATTGCTGAATTCCTTTGTTTGCTGGTCCAGGGTGATCGCCGCCATGTTTATTAGGGGCATTGTTCCCTGTGCCATGTGCGAGTCCACCACCTTTATCCGGGGCGAACCGGAAGCAGACCGCATGCGTAGTATTTACTCGTTGGGGGCGGGGCGAGGGTAATGCGGGCAGGATTTACACAGAGCAAATGCAAATTCAGTTTTTCTGATCTGAAATTCTCTCCTAGACTGATCGTGATGGATTTTGCACTGTTATAGGGCGGTGTCAGTAGAGGAATTGATAGACAGGAAGCTCAAACCAAACATCACGTTAAGCTTCGAGAGAATAACTCGATTGAATATTATCAGCATCTGAATGCGGTAGGATTAACGTTTGTCGTTCAGTCTGTGGGATAAGATTTAAGATATCGGGAAATGTACTGAGACATACTAACTGTGGTTAGATTAACTTGCTTAGATGTTTTCAGGTCTGGGCCATGTCCTCAGGAACAATCTAATGGTCTTGGAATGGGTGTAGCACAGATTTCCCTGATTAATAACTAAACCCGTAGGTTTAGAATACAGGAAAGATCATACAAAAGAATCATTCAGAGATTTTAAGAACTGCCAATGCTGGAGTCAGAATTAACACAGTGGGGAGCTGGAGGAACACAGCAGGCCAGGCAGCATCAGAGGAGTAGGAAAGTTGATGTTTCGGGTCTGAAGAAGAGTCCCGACCCAAAATATCAACTTTCCTACTCATCTCATGCTGCCTGGCCTGCTGTGTTCCTCCAGCTCCACACTGTGTTATATCTTATACAGAAGAATCATATTGTGCTAATGGAACTACAGAGGCCATTTAGTCCATGCTAGCTCTCTAGAGCAATCCAGTCAGTACATTTCCCTGCTCTTATCCCTGTGCACTTGCATATTTCATCAAATACTTGTTCAGTTTCCTTTGAAATCAATCAAGATCCAATTATCTTTGCTGACAAATTAATCCATCCCATTACCTTCAAATATCTGTGCGTGTGAATCCCTCAGACCCTGCACACTCTTTGGAACCATACCCTTACCTCTTCCTATCCATTCTGCTAAAATATATCACTTCTCTATGAGGGAGGTATCCATGGAAATTGAATAATAAGATGTGCTTTTGATCAAAGTTTTGAGGATATGTTTGGCAACTGATAGGGGAATTAGAGAGTAACTATTTCCACTGGGTGGAGAATCGAGGACAAGCAGTCACAATCTGAACACGACATCAGATTCTAGCATATCTTCAGGTCAAGTGTTCCAGATCCTTGTAGCTGTCTGATGGTGCAGAAACTGCAGAACTCCATGTTCAGTCTGGAAGGTTGGAGAGTGTCAAATTGAAAAAAATCTGCTGTGCGTTGAGCTTCATTGGAACAGTGCAGGAGTCATCAGGGCAGTCTGGTACAAAAGATGAAGTCACATGAGCTGGCAAGATGGATACAGAACTCGCTAAGCATAGGAGACAGAGGGTAGCAGTGAAAGGATGCTTTTTGGAATGGAATGTTGTGACGAGTGATATTCCATAGGGATCAGTGCTGGGACCTCTGCTGTTCATGGTCTACGTAAATAATTTGGAGGAAAACATAGCTGGTATGACTAGTAAGTTTGTGGACGAAACAAAGATTAATAGAATTGTGGATAGTGAGGAGGATTGTCAGAGGATACAGCAGGATACAGATCAGTTGGAGACATGTGCAGCAAAATGACAGATGGACATTAATCCGGACAAATGTGAGGTGATGCGTTTTGGAAGGTCAAGTACGGGTGGAAATTATACAGTGAATCCAGAACCCTTAGGAGTATTGATATGCAGAATGATCTGGGTGTGCAGGTCCACAGATCACTGAAGGTGGTAGTGCAGGTCGATAAGGTAGTAAAAAAGGCTTATGGCATGCTTGCCTTCATTGGAAGGGGCATTCAGTATAAGGATAGGCAAGTTATGCTGTAGCTTTATAGAACTTTAGTGAGGTCACACTTAGAATATTGCATCCAGTTCTGGTCACCGCACTACCAGAAGGATTTGGACGCTTTGGAAGGTACAGAAAAGGTTTACCAGAATGTTGCTTGGTATGGGAGATTTTAGCAATGAAGAAAGGTTGGAAACACAGGGTTTGTTTTAGCTGGAATGCAAGAGGTAGAGGGGTGACCTGATAGAAGTTTATGAGATTGTGAATGGTATAGATAGGGTGGAAAGTATGAGGCTGTTTTCCCAGTGTGGAGGAGTCAATTACTAGGGGGCACAGGTTCAAGGTGCAGGGGGGGAGTTTAAAAGAGATGTGTGAGGCAAGTTTTTCACACAAAGGGTGGTGAGTGCCTGGAATGCAAAATGTGTCGGCACAGGCTTGGAGGGTCAAAGGGCCTGTTCCTGTGCTGTTCTTGATCTTTGTTCTTGACAGAGAATTGAGAGTGTGCTTGAAAGTTAAAATCATAAATGATCAGAAGCTCATGGTCCAGCTTGCACACTGAATAGATATTGTTTTGCACAGTAATAATCCAATCTGTATTTGCTGTTCACAGTGTGGAGCAGACCCATCATGAGCAGTGAAGATAATTAAAATATGTAAGGTACAAATGATTCATCATTTGTTTTCATCTTACAAAATCTTGAGGATATTCTGAAGAAAGTTATGTTATTTTCAGGGTAGGTTATAAAATACAGCAAACCATTTCCAAGGTATTAGATGCTAACTCAACGTTAGGCTAAAATAAACTCCAACTGTCAGAATGAACGTGGGCCCCGTTTTTTCAGCAAGTTGAATTTTCGATAAAATGCATTCTGACACATGGAGCAAGTGAATAGTCTCTTCCAGTCTATACCTGCTGCTGAGAGTCCTGGAAGTGATGGTATTCGCATGCACCACTTGCTCTTGTGTTTCTGTTCGATGAGTTTGGAAGATTCTGTCAAAACCTTATTTGAATTGCTGGTAGATGAAGCCCATCTCCTTTAATGCTCTCTATCTTTCTTGGTTTTCCCACAGAAAACCAAGTTCTGTGCAGTTCCGGATCAGGCAGCAAGTTCTTTTCCCTGAAGTTTATTACTGAACCAGTTCTGTTCTTACAACAATCCAAGAGCTTTCACGGTTACATTGTTCTCTTGCAGCTGCACAAATGATCAGATTTATTCAGTCCAGTTTTCAAGTACTGCCTTTGTCTTTGTGGGTCACATTTCCTTCTTTCTGTTTTTCATTCATTTTACAGGAAATCGGAACATTTGTAGTCAGTGAACTCAAACGTCACTTCAGATTCTGACGGAAATATTGAACTCATCAGGACCTGAATATCATCAGACTTTGATCATGGAAGCCAAAAGCAGCGTTCGCACTGAGAAACCATGGCAATGTGGGGACTGTGGGAAGGAATTCAAATATCCATCCCTCCTGGAAAGTCATCGGCGCAGTCACACTGGGGAGAGACCATTCACCTGCTCCGAGTGCGGAAAAGGATTCATTTGGTCATCCAATCTGCTGACACACCAGCAAGTTCACACAAGAGAGAGGCAGTTCATCTGCTCTGAGTGTGGGAAAGGATTCACTCACTCATCCCACTTGCTGACACACCAGCGAGTTCACACTGGGGAGAGACCTTTTAAATGTCCAGACTGTGGGAATTGCTATAAAAGTTCTGGAGAACTAATGTCCCATCAACGTGTTCACACTAACGAGAAACCTTTCAGGTGCTCTCACTGTGGTACTCGGTTCAAGCGATCATCTCAACTCACGATACACCAGCGAGTTCACACTGGGGAGAGACCATTCATCTGCACTCTGTGTAGGAAGGGATTCATTCACTCATCTGACCTGGTGAAACACCAGCAAGTTCATTCTAATGAGAGACCTTTTAAATGTTCAGACTGCAGGAAATGCTATAAAAGTTCTGGAGAACTGATGTCCCATCAACGTGTTCACACTGATGAGAGACCATTCAGATGCTCTCACTGTGGGACTGGGTTCAGACGAAATTCTAACCTCACTGTACACCAGCGAATTCACACAGGGGAGAGGCCATTCACTTGCTTCAGGTGCGGGAAGGGATTCACCAGGTCATCTTACCTGCTGAAACACCAGCAAATTCATTCTGATGAGAGAATTTTAGATGTTCAGAATGTGGGAAATGATCAGAAGATTCTGGAGAATTAATGCCCACGACCATGTTCACATTATTGAAATACCTTTTGAATGCTCAGATTGTGGAAAGTGCTTTTAAAGTTCTCAACAACTGATGATCCATCAATGTCTTTACACAGTGGAGAGACTGTTCCAGTACTCTCACTGTGGGACTGGGTTCAGGTGATTATTTCAACTCATTGTACGCCAGTGAGTTCATACTGGAGAGAGATCGTTTGCCTGCATTGAGCATGAGAAGGGATTCCCTCAATCATCGCACCCTCTGAAACACCAGGGAGTTCATAAGTAACCACAGTGGTTGCATTTTGTTATTAATCATATTTGGGAATGAACTCATTTCATCAGGGTCTGTTTCTACTGATGTTAAATTGACTCTCCTTCAATCATAGGTTTTGATTTTCTGGATAAAAGTCAAATAAACTAGCTTTCTGTTAAACACAAAATGTATTTTTTTTCAAATAACACAAATACAAGTTGATTTCTTTTGGCCTTCTTAGCGAGAGGATTCAGGAACAGGAGCAGGGATGTCTTGCTGCAATTGCACGTGTCTCAGTGAGACCATAGCTGGAGTATTGTGTACAGTTTTGGTCGCTTTATTTGTGGAAGAATGTTCTGACTGTGGAGGGAATACAGTGAAGGTTTACCAGAATGATTCCTGGGATGGCAGAGCTGACATGTGAATATAGACTGAATCAGTTAGCACTATATTCACTCAAGTTCAGAGGAGGGGGATCTTATAGAAAGGAAAAGATTCTGACATGACTACACTGGATAAACACAGGAAAGAGTTCTCAATAAACGGAAAGTCCAGAACCATGAGTCAGACTTTAAGGATATGGGCTAAGCCATTCGTTATTGAGATAAGAAGAAATTCCTTCACCCAGAGAGTAGTGAGCCTCTGGAATTTTCTGCCACAGAAGGTGCCTGAGGCCAAAACATTGAATGTTTTCAAGAATGATTTAGATATAATTCTTGGGGTGAAAGGGATCAAAGAATATGGAGAGAAAGCAGGAACAGATGGATGATCAGCTGTGATTGTGTTAAATGGTGGAGCAGGCTTGAATGACCAAACAGTCTACTTCTGTTTTCTTTGTCTATGGTTATTAGTTTCCCTAATACTTTTTTCTCTTGTGATCATTATTATGGTTATTTCCTCCCCTTTTTGCTGCTTGACTAGTTAGTAATTTTTGAATGTTGTAAGTATACCCTATTGTGAAGATTGATGAAAAGTATTTGTTTAACTCTCTTGCTCTTTACTGGCTCCCCATTATTATCATTTACACAACCTCATTCTCCAGGTGGTCTCGCCATCCACACAACCGGACAATTGGCCACATGCTTGTGCTGCAGCCCTAATGTTTCTGAAAAGCGCCAAGAAACAAAACCATCACCTTTGAGAAATTCAATGGAACTTTCTTGCTCTTGTACTCAATGGCACTAATAATAAAGCATATAATATCGTAGGCTCTATTAAGTTCTCACGCAATCTGTCCTTCTACATTTAAATACTTACGCACATATATACCCAGGTCACTCTGTCCCTGCATCCCCTTTAGAGATGTACCCTTTATTTTGTTTTGTTTATGTCCATGCATCCCATCAAAATGTATGATCTCTTACTTCTCCACATTGAACTTCATCCACCTGTGATCCACACACCCTATCAACTTTACAAAAGTTTACAAATTATGAAAGGCATGGATTGAATGGAGAGTCGAGTCTCTTTGGTAGAAATATCAATTACTAGGGGACCTAAGATTAAGGTAATAGGAGGTATGTTTAAAGGAGATGTCAGAGACAAGCTTTTAGACAGATGGTTGTAAGTGTTTGGAATGCACTGCCAGGGGTGATGTTTGAGGTGGATATGATAGATATATGAATAGGCAGGGAATAGAGAGATATGGACTGCATGGGGAAATAGGTTTTAGTTTAGAAAAGCATTGTGTGTCAGTGCAGTCTGTTCCTACGCTGTATTGTTCTTCGTTCTGTTATTCTCCTCACAACTTTCTCTGCTTCTAAATCTCAAACTATGCACACATTTTGACATTTTCCCTGTATCCCAATGTTTAAGGCACTAATATATATTAGGTAAAACAAGAGTCTCAACACTGGCACCGAGGGAATTTCAATAGATTCATTTGGCTATTCTGAAAAACATCCATGAGTCACCATCATATTTCTTTTCTGTCAGCTAATTTTGTGTATGTATTGTTACTGCAGTTACTTTCCCATAAACATGGCTCACGGGTCTGCTGTATGACATTGGATCACATACCTTCTAGAAGTCTCGGATGAACATGAACTGGATTCCTCTGATCAACTCTATCTTTTACATATGCAAAAGAAAGGTCATTAACAGCAAGTTAGCTAACGTGATGTTTCCTTGAGAAATTTATGCTACTTTTCACAAATTGACTTATATATGTCCATGTGACTATTCATTTTGTCTCAATTGTTGTCTCTAGAGCTTTCCAAGCAACTAAAGTAAATCACTTGTCTATAACAGTTGGATATATCCTTGCAAATTCTTTTTAACAAATGAGTAATCTTTGCAATTTCCCTGTATTGATAACACTTCCAAATTCAACAAGTTTTCTAATCACTTCAAGCAGACTTTATAAGTAGACTTGGAGACTGCCGGTGAACAGTTCTCATTCTTTCATGTGGCTCACCATCTCAGAAGAGGCCCATTTTGGAAAAGCCTGATCAGTATTTTCTTGCCGTGCATCTGCTGAACACCGCAGGATTGTTACAGCTCCACTTGCCTCACATTCAAAGGCAATTTCAAAACTTAACCACATGCACAAAACTGGCGAGCCTGGAAGGGGTAATGGACACTCAGCACATTCGTCTAACTAGTATGTGGGAGAATAAGGAAGATGAGATCCTAATGTTTTTATTACCTATCGTTGAAAACCCCATCAAATTACGATACCTTGTGTCTTATATTCCTTTTGCTTGCTTACTAGGTAAACATTGGATTTGCCGTTGGCCTGCATTGAGCACTTAATTGATGTTGGATCTAGCCGGGCAAAGGAGCTGAAGGTGATACAGGGACAGAAGCAGACAGAGATGTAAATTGGAAGTGTCGTGTGTTAGTTGATTACAGTGAGAATGAGTGTTGTGTGTTGCACCCTAAGTTTCCCAGGAGTCATAGGAGTGATTGGGTTTTGAAAATGGAAAGCCACACATTAGCAGCTTATGGAATGATTTCACCTCATTGATGATGGCATGTTCCACCAAACAGCAACAGTTGCTGACATTCGCTGAAGATATAATTTATTACATCTGAATACATTATCTCCAGTCAAAAAGGTTTGAAGTCTAGAGATGGAGGTGTGGGAAAAGCAGTTTGATAACTGAACAACAATGGAGTGATGGCGGGTTGGTGTTGAGGTAAAGCTGGGCATTTTCAGTATACATGTGAAAACTAACACAGTGCTTTTGACAATGTCATCATGTGGCGGCATGTAGATCAGAAATCAGAGGGGCCAAGGATAAATCCTTGGGCAGCAAGTACAAGGATTTTGGAGACGAAAGTGGGGTGGAGATGGGGCAGGGGCTTAGAATGATGATGAGGTCAAGAATTGTCTTTTGAGTTTGCGTGATGACATTGGGTTTAAAGATGAGAGCAACATTAGCAGAAGAGAAAGAAAACTTAGCAATATTGACAAATATGGTAAGTTCAGTGATCAATAGTTTTGTGAGAATAGGGTTAGAGAGAAAGAGAAAGACTACCTGGAGAAAGTGAATGCGAGCAGAGCCGGAGAGTGTCACAGGAGAGAATCTGGAGAAAGATGAGAGTTCACGTTTGCGCTGGAGAGAGATTTAGAGACAGCTTGGCCCGGTGGCTAATGGAAGGCAGGAAGCAATTGAGACAGCTGATTAGATTGTCTCAAACTTCACAAAAAGCTTCATGTGCTCCTTGTACTTGTTGGAGGTGAGGATGGAGGAGACAGGGGACAGGCAGAGCCACTCAAAAGGAACTAACGTGTCAGTGATGTGAAAAAGACACCACACAAATAGTTTAACATTAAGATCATAAGACATAGGAGCAGAAATTAGGCCATTCAGTCCATCGAGTCTGCTCCGCCATTCAATCATGGCTGATAAGTTCCTTAACCCCATTCTGCCGCTTTCTCTCCGTAACCCGTGATCCCCTTGATAATCAAGAACCTATCTATCTCAGTCTTAAATGTACTCAATGACCTGGCCTCCATGACGTTCTGTGGCAGTGAATTCCATAGATTCACCAGTCTCTGGCTGAAGAAGTTTCTCCTTATCTCCGTTCTAACAGGTCTTCCCTTTACTCTAAGGCTGTGCCCTCAGGTCCTAGTCTCTCCTACAAATGAAAACATCTTCCCAACATCCACTCTGTCCAGGCCATTCAGTATTCTGTAAGTTTCAATTAGATTCCCCCTCATCCTTCTAAACTCCAATGAGTATAGTCCCAGAGTCCTCAAATGTTCCTCATATGTTAAGCTTTTCATTCCTGGGACCATTCTCGTGAACCTCCTCTGAATCTGCTCCAGGGCCAGTACATGCTTCTTGGGATATGGGGCCCAAAACTGCACACAATACTCTAAATGTGACCTGACCAGAACCTTACAAAGCGTCAGTAGTACATCCCTGCTTTTATATTCAAGTCTTCTCAAAATAAATGCCAACATTGCATTTGCCTTCCTGACTACTGACTCAACCTGCAAGTTTACCTAGAGAGAATCCTGGACTAGAACTTCCAAGTCTCTTTGCACTTCAGACTTCTGAATTTTCTCCCCATTTAGAAAATAGTCCATGCTTTTATTCCTCTTCCCAAAGTGCATGACCTCACACTTTCCCACGTTGTACTCCATTTGCTACTTCTTTGCCCATTCTCCTAACCTGTCCAAATCCTTCTGCAGCCTCCCCACGTCCTCAATACTACCTGCCCCTCCACCTATCTTTGTATCGTCTGCAAACTTAGCCAGAATGCCCACAGTTCCTTCATCTAGATCATTCGTGTATAAAGTGAAAAGTTGTGGTCCCAACACTGACCCTTGCATAACACCACTTGTCACTGGCTGCCATCCTGAGAAAGACCCTTTTATCCCCACTCTCTGCTTTCTGCCAAACAGCCAATCTTCTATCCATTCTAGCACCTTGCCTCTAACACCATGGGCCTTTATCTTACTCAGCAGCCCCCTGTGTGGCACCTTATCAAAGGCCTTCTTGATTTATTTCATTTTTTTTTAAATTCATTTATTTCATTTTTATCTAGAATATTAATACCTTTATCTGGGCAGGAGATTTGAAAATCAGCAGAAACAGTCCCTGATAAAATCTGGTTGAGTTCTGGATGTGATTTACATCGAAATCCAGGCACTACAGTTAACTATGAATGCACTGGTGCATCAGCAAGATGGATGACTGAATGAATTCCTTCCTATACTCAAAGCAGGAGAACAGCCTCTCCACATTTGCGCATATGCAGTGAACTGGAACTCAGTTATACAGTGAAACCACCTGAGCAGTCTCTTATTAGTGAGAGAACATTGATCGCGGGTCCAGTCCCAGGAACTTTCAACCAATTTCTCTCATTCTGGGCATTTAAAAGGCCTCTCATCAATGTGAAATCACTGGTGTTCCAACAGGCTGGACAGCTGAGTTTCGAAACTCAGAATGAGCA